TCCAATACTTTGATTGTATTCATTTTGTTACTATTAAAAACTTACTATTAAATTTAATCTTGTTGCTTGATAAATTGAGAAAAATAGAAAATCATTCATAACAGCACCATGCCTATATCTGTAACTGCATGTATGTATATACTGTAAGTTTTAATTTGACAGAGCATATTAGTATGGGAAAAATTCAGGGTGGATAATGTTGGGGGTTGGCTTTTCCCCTTTTTCTCTCTGTGGAATTTTACCCCATTGCCATGCTAAGAATCTGTAGCTGCCCCCTGGCTTGGATGGGTAACAGTTTCTCTCGCAGGGGTTGGGTGAGCAGCCAGGGAACATGGAAAAGGAGAGGTGTGAGCAGCTGCGGACTCTCTCGCTCTCTCTCGCTCAGTGCAGCGGGAGGAAAGAGCCAGCGCTGCTCCCTGCCAGCCCCTGTGCAGTCACACAGCGCAGCGCTTCCTTTCGTGCCTGCAGGCACTCACTGCGGATACCCTGCACCCTGCACCACCGGTGACAGCACCAGCAGAGAAGTCTCTTCCTCTTCCTCTTCCTCTGTCCCAGGCGGGACTGCGCTGCAGCCACTGCCCCAGGCGTTCCCCAGTGTTCTGGTTTAGGGCAAATTTGGGGGAAAACCTCTGGAAGGAGCCCCCAGACAGCAAACCCCCACGACTCCTCCCCCCACCACCGGGTTTGGGAAAAATTTCTTCAGAGAGGAGTGGAAAAAAACCTGTTTATTTAACAAGCTAAACACTCCCCTGCACAAAAAAACAACACCTGCTGACAGAAAAACTCTTTCACCGTTCTGAAGGGATGACAAACTCAGAGAGTCTCTCCAGCGAGTGGTCGCCCAGTTATCAGTCTCTGGCGCTGGGGAATGGCTGCTGCAGGTGACAGAATGCAGACTGCCAGTGTTTCTTGGTGTTTCCCAGGTCCCCGTCCAGAACAGGTTCGGATGGTATCCAGGAAAGGGAGAGGGGGGAAAAAAAACAGTCCAGGGAAAAACACTGGACTGCCTAGCTGGACTAACTAATAAGCAAAAGCAAGAAAAGTAGGAGCAAAAACGAGCAAGCAAGCGAGCAAGGCAGCAAAACCAGCCAGCCTCTCCTAAACACAGACCATGGGGGAGGTGAGCCGGCTGATAACAAGACAAAACAAAGCTTCACTTTCAGAGTCAGTCCTGAAAGCACAGGGCATAATACCAAACATAAACAGAACACACGACTGGGGATACAAACACCATAACATCACCCTAGGACACGCAGCTGCGGGGCCGGGACCTGCCCACAGCACCGCAACCTCCTTGCAGGGCACCAGGGAAGTATTTAAATTTGAAAACTGCTGCTCTGTCTCCTGGCAATGTCAGAGCCGCGCTTAGTTTTGTCTTGTTAGATGTATCAGTAAAGAACTGTTATTCCTACCGCAGATCTTTGACTGAGAGCACCTTAATTTCATAATCACAGTAAAGGGAAGGGAAAAGTAAAGTAAAAGGCAAGGGAAAGTAAAGAAAAGAAGTAAAGAAAAAAGAAAGTAAGGTAAAAGGAAAAGGGAAAGGAAAAGTAAAGTAAAAGGGAAGAGAAGATAAAGTAAAGCCTCTCATTTCAAAGAGAGGCTCCTGTTCTCTTTAGCAAATACCCGTCTTTCAAACCCAGACAGGGCTCCCCGTTATTTTGGGGGTTCTCTCAGTATTTGGGGAGACCCAGCAGCTCTCGTCGATCTCCTGGAAGAGCCCCAGACTCAAACACAGCACAGTTTTGGGGTGTAGTCTCCTTTATTGGGGAGGGGGCACCGCACCCCCTCGCTGAAGGGGTTCCCCCAATTTTGGTTCCATTTTTGGGGAGCTGCCCGGGGTTTTTGTGGTGCTCTTGCGTTTTTGAGGTTCCTCCCAGACCCCAAATTCTCCCTCAACTCCCCAAAACACAGAACCCCCAAACTCAGCCCGATTTTGGGGTGAAATCCCCTTTTATTGAGGAAGGGCTTCCTCCCATCCCAGTTCGGTTTTTGGGGTGCTGCCCTAGATTTTTGAAGTGCTCTCTGTGTTTTGGGGGTTCCCCTGGATTTTTGGGGTGCTCTGTTTTGGGGGTGCCAGTACCCCTCGTAGATCTCCTGGAAGAGTCCCCAAACCCAAATCCAAACCCAGCCCAATTTTGGGGTGAAATCTCCTTTATTGAGAAGGGGGTTCCCCCAATTCTGGTTCTGTTTTTGGGGTGTTCCCCTGTGTTTTTGGGGTTCCCTCCGTATTTTGGGGTTCTCTCTGTATTTTGGGAACCCTGGTACCCCTGGTAGATCTCCTGGAAGAGCCCCCAGACCCAAACCCAGACCCAGCCCGATTTTGGGGTCAAATCCCTTTTATTGAGGAGGGCGTTTCTCCAATCCTGGTTCCTTTCTTGGGTCACTCCCCATTATTTTGGGGGTGCTCTCTATATTTCTTGTCCCCCAGTACCCCTCGTAGATCTGCTGGAAGAGCCCCCAAACCCAGCCCGATTTTGGGCTGAAATCTCCTTTATTGGGGAGTGGTCCCCTCACCCGACTCCGGTTCCATTTTGGGGGCGTTCCCCTGTGTTTTTGGGGTCCCCTCATTGTTTCTTGTCCGCCAGTACCCCTCGTAGACCTGCTGGAAGAGCCCCCAGACCCAAACCCAAACCCAGCCCGATTCTGGGGTGAAATCTCCTTTATTGAGGAGGGAGTTCCTCCAATCCCGGTTCCATTTTTGGGGTCCATTTTTGGGATTCTCCTGTGTTTTTGGGGTCCTATTATTTCTTGTCCCCCAGTACCCCTCGTAGATCTGCTGGAAGAGCCCCAGACCCAGCCCGATTTTGGGGTGAAATCTCCTTTATTTGGTAGCACCCGACTCCGGTTCCGTTTTTGGGGTGTTCCCCTGTGTTTTTGGGGTGCTCTCTGTATTTCTTGTCCGCCAGTACTCCTCGTAGACCCGCTGGAAGATGTCCCTGCAGCGCACTCGCCCGCCCAGGTGGGCGCAGGCCAGGAAGAGCCCCCCCAGTTTGCGGTGCAGGGCGTAGCTGGGCTCGGGGGGGGGCCCCAGGCGGCCCCGCAGCATCGGGGGGAGCAGCGCCCGCAGCGCCCGGGCCGTGCCCTGCGCCCCGAAATCGAAGGGCTGCGACCCCCAGAAGGGCTCCCCCAGCAGCAGCACGGCCTGGACGTGCAGGGACTGCAGAGCCTGGCATGGGAGAGGGGAAAAACGGGATTGGGGTGGGGAAAAAACTCGGGAATTTGGGAAAAATGGGATTGGTTTGGGGGAAACTCGGGAAAAACACGGGAATTTGGGAAAAACGGGATTGGGGTGGGGAAAAAACTCGGGAATTTGGGAAAAACGGGATTGGTTTGGGGGAAACTCGGGAAAAACACGGGAATTTGGGAAAAAACACGGGAATTTGGGAAAAAACTCGGGAATTTGGGAAAAACGGGATTGGTGTAGGGGGAAACTTGGGAATTTGGGGGGAAATACAGGAATTAATTTGGGAAAAAATACAGGAGTTTGGGGGAAAACATGGGAAATTGGGGAAAAACACAACACTGGGATTTTGGAAAAAACACAGGAATTAATCTGGGGGGAAAACACGGAAATTTGGGAAAAACATGGGAATTAATTTGAGAGGAAAACAAGGGAATTTGGGGGGAAGGAATTGGGGGAACCCCGAAATTGGGGAGGCAGGAATTGGGGGAGACCTGCAATTGAGGGGTAAACCAAAATTCAGGCAATAGACCCCCAAATTGAGGGACCCCAAAATTGGGGTGGAATCAGGAAATTCGAGGGGACCCCAAAACTGGGAGAGGGGAAAAAAATTGGGATGAGAGGGACACGAAATTGGAGTGAGAGACCCCAAGATTTGGGTTTAGAACGCTGAAAATGGGGGACCCAGAAATTGGGGTGAGGGAAAAACCTAAATTGGGAAACCCCAAAATTTGGGGTGAAAAAACTCAAAATTGGGGTCGGGGGAGAACCAAAAAATTGGGGAAGTCCAAAATTTGGATGAGGGAGGAGCCCAAAATTGGGGTCAGGAGGATCAAAAATTTGGGGAACCCCAAAATTTGGGGTGAAGGGAAAAAAATGGGGCTGAAAAGGGACCCTAAAAATAGGAAAAATCCAAAAATTTGGGGTGAAAGGACCCAAAATTGGTGATTTTGACCCCGTTCTCACCTGGGACTCGAAGCCCGTCAGGAATTTCAGCTCCTGGGATTTCCTCAGGATTTTCTCCTCATCCCGCTCAGCTGCAGCCTTGATCACCTGCAACGGCCCCAAATTCACATTTCTGGCCCCAAATTCCTCCTCTGGTTCCCAAATTTTTACACAAATTTCTCGTTTTTACACAAATTTTTTTTTCCCATTTTTTGCCCATCAAAATCGGCACAAAAATCACCCAAAATGTTCCCAAAAGGCAAAAAAATCCCACAAAATTTCAGAAAAATCCAAAATCCCCAAATCTTCTCAAAATTCCACGAAAATCCCTCAAAAATCCCACAAAATTCCATGAAAATCTCTCAAAATCCCCCCAATTTTTCCCCCAAATCCTACAAACTCCTGTAAAATCCTCCAAAATCTTCTCGTAATCCCCTCAAACCCCCTCAAAATCCAAATAAATTCCCCCCAAATTCCCTCCAAAATCCCCTAAAATTAAAAAAAATCCCCAAATTACCCCCAAAATCCCCAAATTCCTGTATTTCCTTCAAATCCCACAAAATCCTACAAAACTCCCCCAAAATCTCCAGAAATTGCCCCCAAATCCACAACAATCCACAAAAACCCCCAAAATGCACAAAATTCCCCAGATCCCCCCAATGCCACAAAATCCCAAGAATTTCCCCAAAATCCAAAAAAAATCCCAAGATTCACAAAAATCCCATAAAATTCTCCAAATCCCCTGAAAATCAAAAAAAATCTTAAAAATCCCCCCAAAATCCTGAGAAATTGCCCCAAAATCCCACAATTTCCCTCCAAAATCCCCCAAAATAAAAAAAAAATCCCCAACCTCCCCATTTCCCCCCAAATCCCACAAAATCCCCTAAAATCCCCCAAATTCCATAAAAATCTCCCCCAAATCCCTCAAAATCTCCCAAAAAACCCGCAAAAATCCCCCCAAAATCCAAAAAAATCCCAATAAATCCCCCCAAATCCCACAAAATCACCTAAAATTCCCCCCAAATCCATAAAAATCCTTCCCAAATCCCTCAAAATCTAAAAATCCTCCAAAAATCACAAGAAATCGCCCTAAAATCCAGAAAAATCCTCCCAAATTCCTCCCAAAGATCCCACAAAATCCTGAGAAATTGACCCAAAATCCCACAAAATCTCCCCAAAAAATTCCCCCAAATCCCCAAAACTAAAAAAAATTCCCCCAATCCCAATAAATCCCCCCAATCCCAATAAATCCCCCAAATTCCCTCCAAAATCTCCCAAAATTCCAGAAAAATCCCCAAATTCTCATTTTTCCCCATTATTCTCCTATCCCCCCATTTTTTCCCCATTTTTTCCTCATTTTATTCCCATTTTCTCCACATATTTTCCCCATTTCCCCCCATTTTCCACCATTTTCCCCCCTTTTTCCCATTTTTCCCCATCCTCACCTCGATGTAGAGATCGGTGAATTCCTGCTCGAATTCTTGGCACGCCCCAAAATCCAAGAGCGTCACCTGGGGGAGCCAAAAATCCCCAAAATTCCCCAAAATTCCCCAAAAATCCGCCCCAAATTCCACAAAATCCTCTCAAAATCCCAACAAAAAAATCCCAAAAATTCTCCCCCCAAAAAATCCCCATAAAAACAAAATAAAAACCCAACAAAAATCCCCCCCCCCAAATCCTAACGAAAATCCTCAAAAGTCCCAAAAAATCCCCACAAAAATCCTCAAAAAATCCACACAACATAATAAAAAAAACCTAACAAAAAAACCCCAAAAAATCCCCTCAAAAATAAAAAAATTCCAAAAGATCCCAAATCACCCAAAACCTCCTCAAAATCCCCCAAAATCTCAAAATGTCCCAAATCTCCCTCAAATCCTCTCAAGATCCCCCAAAATCTTCTCAAAATCTCCACTAAAAAGGGAAAAGAATTCCAAAAAATCCCCCAAAATCTTCCAAAAATTTCCCCCAGTCCCCCAAAATTCCTCAAAATTCCCAAAAATCCACTTAAAATCTCCTTAAATCCCTTAAAATCCCCTTTAATTCCCCCAAAATTCAATTTAAATCCCCTAAAAAACGCCCCAAAATCCCAAAAATCCCGGAAAAATGCCAGAAAAGATCACAGAAAATAAAAAAAATTATTCCCCAAAATCCCTCAAATCCCCCAAAATCTTCTCTGAATTTCACAAAAATCCCCCAAAATCTCCACAATTCCCCCAAAATTCCTCAAAAATCCCCAAATTCATAAAAATTCCCAAAATCCACCTAAAATCTCCCTAAAATTGCCTTTAATTGCAACAAAATCTACTTAAAATCCCCTTCAATCCCCCCCAAATCGCCTTTAATTCTCTCAAAATTCAATTTAAATCCCCTAAAAATGCCCCAAAATCGCCTTTAATTCCCCAAAATCTCCCAAAACCCCCAAAATCCCCCGGAATTCCCAAATTCGGATTTTTTGGGATATTTTGGGCTATTTTTGGGTTATTTTTGGGTTATTTTGGGGATATTTTGGGGATATTTCTGTGATATTTTTGGGATATTTCTGGGCTGTTTTGGGGATATTTTTGAGATATTTTTTGGCTGATTTTTGGGTTTTTCGAGTTATTTTTGGGTTTTTTTGGGCTGGTTTTGGGCTGGTTTTGGGATATTTTGGGGCTGGTTTTGGGCTGATTTTTGAGATATTTCTGGGCTGTTCCTGGGATATTTCTGGGCTGATTTTAGGGATATTTCTGGGACATTTTTGGAATATTTCCGGGCAGTTTCTGGGCTATTTTTTGGCTATTTTTGGGCAGTTTCCGGGCAGTTTCTGGGCTATTTTTTGGCTATTTTTGGGCAGTTTCCGGGCAGTTTCTGGGCTATTTTTGGCTGTTTCCGGGCAGTTTCCAGGCTCACCGTGTGTGTCCCGGGCTCATAAAGGAAATTGGCCCAGTTGGGGTCGGTCTGCATGAAGCGGAAGCTGAAAAGCTCCTGCAGGAAGAGCCGGAGCAGCTCCGAGCACAGCTGGGGGACAAAGGGTTAAACCTGGGGGGGATGGACCCCAAACAGAGCCCCAACATTTAAATAAAACAAAAAAACCCCAAAATTCCAAAAATTAAAAAAAAAAATCCCCCAAATCCCAAAATTAGAAAAAATAATCCCCCAAATCCCAAAAACCCCACCAAAAAAATCCCAATAATCTCCCCAAAATAAAAAAATAAAATCCCCCCAAAATTAAAAAACATAAAAAATCCCCCAGATCCCCAAAATGCCCCCCAAAGGAACCCAAATCCCAAAAGTCCTCCCAAAATTAAAAAAAATAAATCCCCCAAATCCCACAAAAAAAAAAAATTTTGGAAAATCCCACAAATTCAAATAACTACCCCCCAAAAAAACCCCTTAGAAATCCCCCCAAAATTCCCCCAAAAGCCCGCAAATTTTGGGGCTCCCCCCCAAATTTTGGGTCTTCCCCCCAGATTTTGGGGTCTCCCCCCAAAAATTTTGGATTCCCACGGCCAAAAAACCCCAAAATCCTCCTCAAATTTTGGTCTCCCAGCCCCCAAACACCCCCCCGATATTTCAGGGTCCCTCCCCCCATTTTTGGGGTCCCCCCCATAATTTGGGTGCTCTCCCCAAATTTTGGGGTCTCACCCCCCAAACCCCTCCCATATTTTGGGGTCCTTCTCCCAAATTTATTTTGGGGTTCTCCCCAGTTTCGGGGTCCATCCTCCCCCCCATATTTTAGACTCCCCCCATATTAATTTTGGGGTCCCCCCCACATTTCGGACCCGCCCCCCCCATTTTTGGGGACCCAAATCCCCCCAATATTTCGGGGTCCCTCCCCCACATTTTGGAGTTCCCCTCCCTCATATTTTGGGATCCCCCATATAAATTTTGGGGAGCCCTCCGATGTTTTGGGGTGTCCCCCATATTAATCTTGGGGTTCCCCTCCCCCACATTAATTTTGGGGTCCCCTCCCCCACATCTTGGGATCCCCCCACATTAATTTTGGGGATCCCCTCCTTCCCGACCTGATCCCGCCTGGTGGTTCCCCTCCCCCCCATATAAATTTTGGGGTCCCCCTCCGATATTTTGGGGTCCCCCCTCCCCCACCTGGTCCCGCCGTTCCTGGGGGATTCCCCGGCAGCGCTCCAGGGGCTCGCCCCTCCCCCACTCGGTGCAGAGCACGCGGCGGGAGCTGAGCTGGGACAGAACCCGCGGGACCCGGAAAAACGGGTCAGGGCCCAGCAGGGACCTGGGGAGCCAAAAATACCCCAAATTAACCAAAAACCCGAAAATTCCACCCAAAAAACCCAAAATCCCCGGAAAAATCCACCCAGGAATGACCCAAAAACGGTAAAAATCACCCCAAAAACCCCACCCGGAAAAGGGGTCAGAGCCCAGCAGGGACCTGGAGAACCCCAAAAATCCCAAATTCACAGAAAATCCAAAAAAATCCATCCCAAAAATACCCCCCCTCGAAAAACCGCTCAAAATCCCCCAAAATCCCCTAAAAAAACCCCAAAACTCCATCCCTGAAACCCCAAAATACCTCAGTGCAACCCCAAATTTCCATTCCCAAAATCCCCTAAAATCCCCCAAAATCGTCCCCAAAACGGTCCCAAAAATGACTTAAAACCGCCCTAAAACCCCAAAACCTCCCCCAAACCTGCCCCAAAATCCCCTAAAAATCTCCCAAAACTCACAAAAATCCCCCAAAATCCCTTAAAAAACCCCAAAATCCATCCCCAAAACCCCAAATCTCCCCAAAACCCTCTAAAAGCATCCCCCCCAAATGCCCTGAAACCCCCCAAAACCTCCCAAAAACTGCCCCAAAACCGCTCAAAATCTCCCAAAAATCCCCTAAAACCCCCCCCAAATTCCCCAATTCCCCCCAAATCCCCAAACCCGCACCGGAAGCGCCGCGCGCTCCGCGCCTCGCGCCCGTAATCGCACTCGAGCTGGAGCTGGAGCCCGAGAGAGCGCAGGGAGTGAGCCGCGAACAGACCTAGGATTAATTAATCATTAATTAATTCATTCATTAATACATTAATAATATAACGGGGTGAGCCGGGAACAGACTTGGGGTGGGGAATACAAATTAATAAATTATTACAATAATAAAATAACGGGGTGAGCCTGGGATGGGGAGAAAAAATGGGATTTTGGGAAAAATAAAAATTAATAAATTAATAAAAATATAAAATAATGGAGTGAGCCGGGAACAGGCCTGGACTGGGGAGGAAAAATGGTATTTTGGAAAAATAAAAATTAATAAAAATATAAAATAATGGGGTTTGGGGGAAAAACCGGGATTTGGGGAAAAATAAAAATAACTAGGTTTTGGGAAAAAATAAAATAACAAGAGTTAAGGAAAAAAATGGGATTTTGAGAAATAATAAAAAAATGGAGCTTGGGGAAATAAAATAACAGATTTGGGTGGAAAATGGGAATTTGGGGAAATAACGGAATTTGGGAAAAATAATGGGATTTGGGGGGGAGAGAAATTGGATTTAGGGATTGGGGAGAAAAAATGGGATTTGGGGAAAAAATGGGAATTGGGGAGAAAAAATGGGATTTTGAGGAAAATATGGGAGTTTTGGAAAAATAACGGGGATTGGGGCAAACAATGGGGATTGAGGGAAAAAATGGGATTTGGGGGAAAAATAATGGGGATTGGGGAAAACAATGGGGATTGAGGGAAAAAATGGGATTTGGGGGAAAAATAATGGGGATTTGGGAAATAAACAGGAATTTGGGGAGATTTGGGAAAAACGGGGATTTGGGAAACAGCAATTTGGGGAAAAAACAGGAATTTGAGAGGACAATGGGGATTTGGGGGATGGGGGATTTTGGGAAAGATGGGAATTGGGGGAGAGAGAAAACAGGATTTTGGGAAAAACGGTGGGAATTGGGGAAGAAATGGGATTGGGGAAACGGAGATTTGGGGAAAACAAAAATTTGGGGATTTGGGAAAAATGTGGGAAAAATGGGGATAAAATGGGGAAAAATGCGGATAACATGTGGCTGGAAAACAGGGATTTGGGAAAAGGGAATTTGGGAGGGAAATGGGAATTGGGGGATTGGGGGAAGATTTTGGGGTGATTTGGGGTGGTTTGAGGCTGTTCTGGGGTGGTTTTGGGTTTATTTTGAGGCGATTTTGGGGTGTTTTTGGGGTGTATTCATGTTTATTTAGGGGTGTTTTGGGGCTCTTTTTAGGATTGATTTTGGAGCATTTTTGGGGTGACTGGGCTGTTTTGGGTTTATTTTGGGGTGCTTTTGGTTTTATTTTGGGTTGATTTGGGGATTGATTTTGGGGTATTTTTGTAGCGGTTTTGGGGTGCTTTTGGGTTGATTTCGGGGTGTTTTGGAGTCTATTTTTGGGTTGATTATGGGTTGTTTTGGGTTTATTTTGCACTGGTTTTGGGCTGGTTTGGGGATTGATTTGGGGGTATTTTTGTGGCGGTTTTGGGGTGATTTCAGGTTGTTTTCAGGGTGTTTTTAGGGTGTTTTTGGGGTTGTTTTCAGGGTGATTTCGGGGTGTTTTGGGGGTGTTTCAGTGACCTTTGGGCAGCCCGGGGCTCAGGCTCAGCAGGCTCTGCAGGTTCTCGATGTCGCTGCCGATGCTGCGGTCGATGCCCGGGTACTGGGGGGAGTCAGAATGGACCCGGGGCCCCAAAATTCCTGCCCAAAATCCCAAAATTCCTGCCCGAATTCCCAAAATTTCCACCCAAATCCTCAAAATTCCTGCCCAAATTCCAAAATTCCCACCAAAATCCACAAAATTCCAGCCCAAAATTCCTGCCCAAATCCCAAAATTCCCGCCCAAATTCCTTTTTCCCCAAATTCTCATTTTTCCCCCAAATTCCTGTTTTTTTCTCCTAAATTCCCTTTTTTCCTAAAAATATCCCATTTTCCCAATAAAATCCTGTTTTTCCCCAAATTTTCCCCAAATTTCACCCAAATTCCCATTTTTCCCCCCAAATTCCCATTATTTTTCTCCCCAGATTCCCATTATATTTCCCCTCAAAATTCCCGGGTTTTCCCCCCAAATTTCCATTGTTTTCCCCAAATTCCCGTTTTTCTCCCCCAAATTCCCATTATTTCCCCCCAAATTTCCATTATTTTCCCCCCCAAACTCCCATTTTTCCCAAAAAAATTCCCATTATTTTTCCCCCCAAATTCCCTTTTTTCCCCCCCAGAATTCCCATTATTCCCCCCAAATTCCCATCTTTCCCCTAATTTCCCATTTTTTCCCCAAATTCCCATTATTTCCATCCAAATTCCCATTATTTCCCCCCCAAATTCCCATATTTTTCCCCAAATTCCCTTCCCCCCCCAAATTCCATTTTCCCCCCCAAAATTCCCTTTTTTTTCTCCAAATTCATTCCATTTTCCCCCAAAAAATCCCATTTCCCCCCCCCAAATTCCATTTGTTCCCCCAAATTCCAATTTTTCCACCCAAATTCCATTTCCCCCCCCAAAATCCCGGTTTTTTCCCCCAAATTCCCGATTTTTTTCCCACCTGGATTTTGATGGCCACCTCGGTTCCATCCCGGAGCCGGCCCCAGTGCACCTGGCCCAGGGAGGCGGCGGCCACGGGAAAATCCTGGAATTCCTGGAGCTGCTCCCGCCAGCCGGGGCCCAGCTCCTCCTCCAGCACAGCCTGGGAGTACAAAATTTTTAAAAAAATCCCCAAATTCCCAAAAATCCCAAAAATTCAGCACAAGGATCCTCAAATTATGGCAAAAATCCCATAAAATCCCATAAAAAATCCCAGAAGATTCCATAAAATCCTGGAATTCCTGGAACTGCTCCTGCCAGCTCCTCCTCCAGCACACCCTGGGAGCACAAAATTCCCAAAAAAATCCAAAAAATCCAAAAAAATCCCCAAAAATACCATAAAATTCCCAAATTCCCAAAAAACCCCAAAAATTCCCCCATAATCTGGACAAGAATCCCCAAATTATGGCCAAAATCCCATGAAATCCCATAAAAGTTCCTGGAGCTACTCCCACGAACTCCTCCTCCAGCACAGCCTGGGAGCACAAAATTCCCAAAAAAATCCAAAAAAATCCCCCAAATCCCCCAAAATCTGGACAAGAATCCCCAAAATACCGCAAAGATACAAAAAAAAATAAAAATTCGATCAAAACCCCATAAAACAAAAAAGAATCCAAAAATCGCACATAAGAAACCCACATAAAATCCCAAACCCCACTAAACCCCAATAAACCCCAAATAAAAACCCAATAAACCCCAAATAAAACCCAATAAACCCCAAGTAAACCCCATTACACCCCAATAAAACCCCAAATCCTATAAAAACGCCAATAAATCCCAAATAAAACCCAATAAACCCCAATAAAACCCCAATAAACCCCAATAGACCCCAATAAAAACCCAATAAAATCCCAATAAACCCCAATAAAATCCTAAATCCTGTTTTGGGGTGTCACCCTGCTCTGCCAGTCCAGCATGGGCTCTGCGCTCTGCTGGATCCAAACCCAAATAAACCCCAAGAAAACCCCAATAAACCCCAAGAAAACCCCAATAAATCCCAATAAACCCCAATAAAACCCCAATAGGTTTTGGGGTGTCACCCTGCTCTGCCAGCCCGGCATGGGCTCTGCGCTCTGCCGGAGCCGGGCCAGGATCTGCTGCAGCTGCGGGGTCAGCACCGACGAGTCTGGGAATAGGGGATTTAGGGGATTGGTTTATGGGGTTTAGGGGATTTAGGGGGTTTAGGGGGTTGGGTTATGGGGTTTATGGGGTTGGTTATGGGGTTGGGTTATGGGGTTGATGGGAGACCCCAAACCCCTGCCTGCTGTTGTGAGGTCAGCACCAATAAGCCTGGGAGGATATAGGGGATTTAGGGGTTTTATGGGTACTTTTGGATATTTTGGGGATATTTTAGGGTATTTTTGGGGTCCCACCTGCCATGCTGAGGAACTGGCCCAGTCTGGGTTATTTTTAGAATATTTTTGGAATATTTTAGGGATATTTTGGGAGTATTTCAGAGATATCTTTGGGGTATCTCTGGGATATTTTTGGGGTGTTTTTGGGATTTCTTTAGGATATTTTTCGGGTTGGTTTTGGGGTGTTTTTGGGATATTTTTGGGATTACTTTGGGATATTTTGGGGTTGCCACCTGCCATGCTGAGGAACTGGCTCAGTTTGGTATATTTGGGATAATTTTGGGGTGTTTTTAGGATATTTTTGGGGTGTTTTTGGGATATTATGGGATGTTTTTAGGGTCCTACCTGCCATGCTGAGGAACTGGCCCAGTTTCAGAGCCGCCCCCCGGGCCCGGCTCAGCGCGGCCACCAAACGCTCAGCGGTGGCTTCTGACAGCAGGGGGGAGGGGCCGGAACCTGGGGGGGAAAAGGGGTGACATCACAAAAATGGGGATGGGGACCCCGAAATTGGGGATGGGGACCCCAAAATGGGACTGAGGACCCCGAAATTGGGGATGGGGAATTTGGGGGAATGTGGGGTTACCCCAATTTGGTCTGGGGGATTTCGGGGGGGTCTCCAACTGGGTCTGGGGTCCCGGGGGTCCCCAATTGGGTCTGGGGGATTTGGGGGAAATTTGGGGAAATTTGGGGGGTCCCCAATTGGGTCTGGAGGGTCTCTCACTCACCCCGGGGCTGCTCCTGCCCCCACAGCCGCGTCCGGGCGGCCTCGGCCAAAGCCCCCAGACCCAATTCCAGAGCCAGCCCTGGGAGAGAAACCAAATTGGGAACAAACTGGAAACAAACTGGGAACCCTCAAAGCTCCCAGACCCAATTCCAGAGCCAGCCCTGGGACAGGACATCAATGGGGGACCCCAAAAATCCCAGTGCCCCCCAGTTCTCATTCCCAGTCCCTCCCAGTTCCCTTATTTTCCATTCCCAGTCCCCTCCCAGTTCCATCCCAGTCGCTCCCAGTTCC